CTGCTTGTCACTGGCCTCCACCTTGCCTTAGGCCCGCTGACCACAACAATCTGGCTGCGATCATGCAGCTAATTCTTAATTCACCTAATAGTCCAGCCTTCAAATCCATAACTTTCCATTTTACAAATAAGGATGTAATGTGGAACACTGTCAGAGGCCTTGCACAAATCCAGGAAGACAACATCACTCTCTCTTCCTTCATCCACTGATGTTGGCACTCCATCCTAGAAGACCACCAGATTAGTCAGGCACAATCCTGGCGAAGATATGCTGCCAAATACAAGTGCTGAGCCCCCAAGGGAGCTTAGCCACATGAGGCACTCAGGAAAGTTCAATCATTAAAGGATAAGACAAGGGAAAAATGTGGCCTGCGCTGTTCTCAAACCATAAGAACTCTCACAGTCTGCAGGCATCAAAATATAAAGTTACACAGAATAAAAAAGTTACACAATTTCAGAGAAAGAATTTCAGGTGTGCGTAGGGCCAGTATATTCTCTGATAGCAAAATAATGATCTGGACAATAAATTTAAGCTAATGGAGTCACTTAGGCTTTAAACAACTTGCCAAGTAAAAGTGTGAGGGACTGCTGCCTCTCAAAAGGTGACAACTTAAAATAATACAAACCAACTTCAGAAGGTTTATGTCAATATTTCTGGAAACAATTTGAGATAATTATCAAATTTGGACACCATGTTAGGTTAAAAAAAAAAAAAAAGACATAATCAGATTAGAAAGAATGAAATGGAGAAGTTGTTGTATTAGCAACGAAGCTGATGAAGGCTGTATGAAGGGGTAGTTCAAGGAACCGATAACATGATGGAGTAGCAACAGCCTTGTGAGTTGGGTGTGTTTGACTCCACTAACTGTAGCACAGACAGCATGATGTTCAGTTTCTAGGATTTTTTAATAGCTTTTTAGTGGTTTTACTCTCCACAGATTGCAACTGGGAGTTAATAAAGTCCAGTGCCTGTAAAATGTTTGTATTTGCCTACTGGGGTCTCTTACTTCTAGAAAACGAGTTGCTGTGAAGTATCAGCCAGCTGATGCCCTATGTCTTCCAGAAATAAAGCACATCGGTGAGATCCTGTGAGTAAGAAAAACTTTCTACTTTCCGATGATCTACCAGCTCCTCAATTTTTTGTCCTGGGTGCATCTGTAATGCTGATGCATAGGTGGTAGGAGCAGACACAGATCAGAAGCGCTGCTTCTCTACCCATTGTGTGCTTCTTTCCTCTGTGTGCTCTTTTAAAGCCTGAATGCACCAATTTAAAGAAAGCCCTTTGCTTTGCACAGAAGGACAAGATTTGGGTGGAAGCTTTTCCGGTACTGGATTCAGACAGCCTCATCTGATGTAGAGCCCTGAGCATTTGAACAAACTGATCGACTAGACCAAGATCTTAAAAACTTTGTTCTAATATTTCTTCCCCTCTGTTGAGCAAGGAGCTGTGCTTGTCACGGGGTGGTGCCTTGCTTTGGCATGGCCAGTGAATATGGGAAAATCAGTTAGTCAGGGGGTTCCAACTAGGAATAATTGAAGTAGGAAACAGGCTGCATCTTCAGCAAGAAATAAACCATGGAATCACAGGGCTTGGAAAGGACCTCTGGAGACCATCGAGTCCAATCCCCACTATAGCAGTTCCCTACAGCAGGTTGCACAGGAAAGCATCCAGGTTGGTCTTGAATATCTCCAGAGACAGACACATCTCCGAGCAGCCTGTTCCAGTGCTCTGCCACTCGCAGTAAACTTTTTCCACATACACACTATCTAAATGCCACTCTTACCTTGGGTGAACTGAGGAAAGTGCGACACAAAGGGAATAATGCACTACATAAACCCTACATCATGCTCGAGTCAACTGTGCTGCATCTACAGGTAAAGATGGTTATGGACCGCTCTTCAGTAAAAGGCACAGCCATTTGCAGTGTTCCATTTCAAAACAGCAATGTACAGAAAAGACTGTCAGGAATGAGGTTGGTTACTTCAGAGGTGAACTCGTAGCACTTTAGGAAAATTCAGAAAGAAAAGATAAACAAAGCCTCAAAACCTGGAAGTTTGTACAGGTGGCCACACGGTCAAAATTGCACTGGAATGCCTCCCTCTTGCCCCAGCCAACTTCTTAACTGCCACTGGAACCACTGAGCCTTAAGCACCTGCTGCTTTGTTCTCCTCAACAAGGCATAAGGCCCTTCCATCGCCCCTCTAGCAGAAATCCCGCCTTTACATTCAGGTCGGCGCAGAATCCTCCTCGAACCAGGATCTCCGGAGGGCAATTCCGGGCTCTGAGGCACAGCCCGGTCACAGTGTCCTCCCCCCGCAACGCAACTCTGCCCGCGGCTCGGAACGGGCCCGCAGCGCCGGGCCGAGAGCGCCCTCTGCTGCCACAACCCGAACCTCCCCTGGGCAACTGGGGGGCGTCACCTCTCCTATGGCTGGTACCCGTGAGAAGAAGCCGATCCCCACCTCGCCACAACCTCCAGTCAGGTGGCTGTAGAGAGCGATGAGGTCTCTCCTGAGCCTCCTCTTCTCCAGCCTGAACAACTCCAGTTCTCTCAGCCGCTCCCCATCAGACTTGTGCTCCAGATCCTTCTCGCCTTCATTGCCTTTCTCTGGAGACATTCCATTCCACTGCAATGTTGAAAGTGCAGGTGATCTCATACCAGTGCATCTTTAGTCACTCTGACTTGTTATCCATCTAAGTCAGGCCAGCTATAAGCTGAAATCCAGAAGGAAACCTGCTGTTTGTCCCTTCCCTTTCCACTGCACTACAGTGCTGCTTGGCCATGTGCAGAGAGGGCAGGACAAGACAGGAGAGGACCGTATATCAGACACAGTCACCAAGTACCTGAATGGTGCCATCAGCCAGAGGTTTTCATTTCAGCAGTCAGTGGACAACCATCTCCATGATAAAAACAACCGCCCTACTCAACAGCACACCCCTCTGCAGACTGTTGAAAGTCACCACTACTTATGGGCACACGGTTCTTGTCTGGTGGGTTCAGATGAACACTGATTGCTGCCAAGCATGGAAGTCTGGGTGCTTCTTTGTTTAGAAATGTTTATCTGCTGGCAACAGGACAAAATACCCCATTCACTTTGAAGGTGATGCTGCACCAACCTCAGGGGTTAACTTAGAAGCAAGCATTGATTTATCATGGTGAATCATGTTCGGTTTGCGTTTTCTTATGGTTTTAATACTGCTGTAATGTATACATGTAATGCACCTGTTTGTTGTTACTCTATGTCATCATATGGAATGCTATGCTATCCCATAGTGAAGGATGCATGCTCTCGTCTATAACCCAGTGTGTTACTGAGCCTTTTACAGAATTGCTATTTATTTTTATCAACCTGAGGCTGTAGACTTTCTTGATACATTATAGGAATTCCCTTCACATTCATTGGAAAATGATGCCCAGGGTTATGGGGAAGAACACCCCAGTGTCAGGCATCCACGTTCTCCCTAGAGGAATGGTGAAACTCAGAGGAGTCCTTTGGCTCAGGAAGGTGTGTGTATGTACAAGCATATGCAGAAGAGCTAACAGGTGTATTTACCTTCCTTCAAAGACAAATGGCAAAAGTTATCAGTTATCTTATGTAAGTGCTCCTGTACCAGTCCACTTTGTACACAGCTGGGAACACATTACCATCACCCGTGATAACGTATTGAGAGATTCTGGAAATGGGTAGGAACATTTCTGGACAAAAGGCATTTGGCTCACTTTTGAGTGTGTAAAAGAGAGCTGAACCCAGGCAAGGCTGATACCTATCTCTCAGCCTGGCTCTGAAACAAATACAGGTTTAGAGTCCAGCCCTGCAGTGCTGTGAGAGCCAAAATGGCATGAATGGGAGTGCCAAGCATGTTGCAGAATCTGTTTTTTGGGGACATGACTTAGCAATAAGAGAAGAAGAATCATAGAACAACAGAATCACAGAATGGTTTGGGTTGGAAGGGTCCTCAAAACCCACATCGCCCCAGTCTCTGCCGTGGGCAGGGCTGCCCCCCACCAGCTCAAGCTGCCCAGGGCCCCATCCAACCTGGCCTTGAGCACCTCCAGGGATGGGGCACCACAGCTTCTCTGGGCAGCTGTGCCAGCACCTCACCACCCTCTGAGAAAAGTATTTCTTCCTCATATCTTACATAAATCTCCCCTCTTCTAGTTTGAAGCCCCTTGTTCTGTTACTATCAGACCACGAAAAAAGTCAGTCCCCTCCTTCTTCTTCAAGTATTTTAAGGTTGTGATGAGATCTCCCTGGAGTCTTGTCAGAGTATGTTGTCTCATACCCTTTTAGGATCCTCTTGATGCGTTTCTTTGTGATCAGTAACACCCATTTACTCCTGCACACTGGGCAAACAGCCTCTGAAGCAGGACCTGGGGCTCTGGAGGACAGTCATTTTTCTGTTCTAAACCTATAAAAGCAGCCTCAGGAAAGCAGGCAGGGGAGGGCACATCCCTCGTGGCCAATCCCCTTGGTGTGGGAGCAGCATAGGAGCGGAGGTGGCAAAGTCAGGTAGGGACCTGCTGTGGTAATAATGAAATGGGCAGACCTTGGAGCTCTCTCCTGCTTGTCAGGGGAATGCTATGGGCTGCCAGCCCCATGCAACATGAGAGCAGTGAGTGGGAGAGCCGCATCCCGCCTGCCCTGCAGATTAACCTCAGTGCCACACATCGCCACCTCCAGAAGGGCTGCGGTGCAGGAACGGATGCTCCACCGGCACCAGGAGAAAGAGTGAGTTGCTGCTTTTGTGCTGTCCTAAGCAGGGGGTGGTAAATAGCTGGAGAATGCTTAATAGCTTGTGTATTCATGTCTAAGGCAGTTTCTCCCACAGCACAATTATTTCCTTGTCACCGATGTTCTCTTCCTGGAAGGTACGTTTCAGATTTGTTGCTTCGTAATCACAGGGAAATAACAGGTTATGCAAAGTTTGTCTTGGATGTGTTGCAATTGTTTATACTCATATGTCTGAGTTAATAATTAATAGCTGTATGAATAATAAACTGAAAGAACTGTGGAAAGGTTTTGCTCCCTCTTGCAAACGCTTCTTTAGGAAAACCGTTCACCAAAGGCAGCAGAGCTTTGCTGTCAATTATTCCCATTGTGTTCTGTTAAAAAACTGTCTTGAGAAAGGCACTGGCAGAGGACGGTCGGGGAAGAGCAGCTGGAACCTGTGCTTTATTCTGTTGTTTAATTTACAAGTCAGGCTGGTGATGCAGGGAGTACAAAGCACAGCAAACACGCCACCACTCTGTGGCTCTGCAGTCTGCTGGCAGTGACACCATGCTCTGTCCCAACCCGTGAGTGGGAGCTGAGACACCCAGCACCAGGTAACCCTGCTTCTGGACTCCAGCCTCCATCCTCTTCATGGCCATCTTCTTTGCGTCTTTCTAACATGTGACTTTGCTTGCTTGCATCTTTTTTTTTTTTTAGTCTGAGATTTGAACAGAAGAAACCCAATTGTTAGAATACACTTTGTATACCATTTGCACTAATGAATTAAGCATAACTCTTTGGGTTTGGTAAATCTCTAACTTAGTGTAATGCTTAACTTGAACTTTCGTGCCAGACAGGTTAGAAGTGGAGCTTAGAAATGATACAACCAAAAATTTGCCATCAAATGTTCTTTCCTCAAGCTCACGCAGTGTGAATGCCTCTGCTCTAAAAAGGCATCAATTTGACACAAAAACCAGAGAATTTTAAAAAATGGTTTTAAAATGACTGTCAGCACTTTGATGTTGAATTATGCATCTTGGTTCAGTGGTGTTCAGACAGAGTGGCCCCTGACTCCCCAATGGTGTTCCCTTCAGCAGAAAGAGGAATAAACAAAGCATTACTAGTTTTATGAAAATTCTATTGGGAAGACTACACAAGTCTGTTCTTTATGTATGTGGGTATATGCTTTTTGAAGGCCATGAGAAGATCATGCTAAGCTCAAAAGCCCTAACATTGCAGTTTGCATGTATTTAACACATTCTCAATCAGCTGCAGTACTTAAAGAAACTGTATTTGTTGAGGTTTCTCTTAAACAAAAACAAATAAAATCAGCCTGATGAATGGAAAAAGGATGGGTCATTCAGTAACAGAACCAGGAAGATATAGGAAAGTAATGATATTGATTAAAATAGAAGTAACATGTTTTCACACTTTAACACATATCCATGCACGCCGTGTTTCTCCTTAGCACGAAGTCAGGAGTTGGTTTGGATGCCCCATCCCTGGAGGCACTCAAGATCAGGCTGGATGGGGCTCTGAGCACCTGATGGAACTGTGGGTGTCCCTGATCATTGCAGGGGACTTGGACCAGATGGCCTTTAAGGTTTCCCATCTGAAACAATTCTGTGACTTGTTGAATTAAACTATTCCAGACTAATACTGAAGCAGGGACACATACAGCTGCTCAAGATGTCTGAGGGTTCATGCATTGTTCAGGTTCAATGCAGTAGAACTGCCTGATTTATCTTGCATTTCTATCACAGCTAGGAAGGAATTTGTTCCCCTACGTGTGACAGCACCTCCATGACATCAATGGCTGTTCAGCCCAGTGACAGCAGCTCAGGCTTTTGCTGTACAGGTAAAAGAAGAAACCATGTTCAAGTAAGGAGCAACAAGCATGGTTCATGCTGCAGTCCAGAAGTGTGCAGGATGTCAGCTCTTACTGCTGCTGCTCTACCCACCTCCTCAGTGACACCTGAGCTGTGAAATGCAGTGTATTCTACATGGCCCTCTCATACCTGCATGCACACAGGAAAACAGAGAGGCAGTCCTCACTGCTCTCCTTCTAAATGCTTTGGGCTTTATCCAGTCTTTCATGTTATTTTGGTCTAAATTGGGTGGTTTTGGTATTCATTCTGTGTACGTTGCCCAAGCTGCACAAGATTATATGGATTTAAGCTCCTCTTTGCTTAATACAGCACTTTCACACAGGCACATGCTAACACAAGTGATCAATGAAGGGTTTTAATTAGTTTTTTTTCTGAATAGAGAATGGAAGAAAGCACCCCATGAAGAAATTAATTGTATAGGCTGGGGACTCCCATTGAATAGGATTAACTTTCCTTGAGACAGTAGCATTCTCACACAACAGTCACAGGCTTTTTATTGCTTTTTTGCAGTTTTTCTTCATACACAGGATCTGCAATTAGCAATAAAATAAGATAAAATAAACTTATAAATTACTGGAATGATCAAAGCAAATTGAGAAACCTGAAATGACATTATTACTAAGCAGGTGTTGGAAATGTCCTGTAGCTATCCGAACCTGTAAAGAAAAAGGTGGGGGTGGAAACTTGTGCCAGGAAATTTTTGGGGATAACGTGCTATGAAATGGGTTTTTGGTGCTGGAAAGATGATATACAAGTAACAGTATTCACAGTTCAAGCAGTCACACCAGAACTGCTTTCTTCCAGTATCTGTGTCTAATCCAATTTTCACTTAAAAGGCCCCCTGCTCAGGGCAAAAATGAACAGATGACCAGCTGAGTTCAGATCATTTGACGACATTTTTCTTCAGAATCAGGTTGCTGCTATCTCCAGCATGTGACACTTTCCTAAAACCATCACGGCTTGTGTTTGCCACTAAGCAAAGACCCCAGCTTGGGAGAAGAACTTCCTTCCCAGGCTGGGGGACATATTGCATGTGCCGAGCCTCATTTTCTTCCAGTCTTTGCATTACTGAACATACAGACTGCTGTGCCTTCCACGAGCATCGGCTGAGGCTGTGCTCAGACGTAGGGGCATTGTATACTTTTCTAGATGAGTTTAAGAGGAAAACAGGATGGTAGCTGGCTGTGGAATTCAGAAAACCACTTACGGGTGGTGAGGTGCTGGCACAGCTGCCCAGAGAAGCTGTGGTGCCCCATCCCTGGAGGCACTTGAGGCCAGGTTGAATGGGGCCATGGGCAGCTGAGCTGGTGGGGGGCAGCCCTGTCCACTGCAGGGGTTGGGGCGGCGTGGGCTTTGAGCTCTCTTCCAGCCAAAATCTACACTTCAAAACATTGTTGAGGTGTTTTAATGCAGGAATAGGCAGGTTACATTGGCAGAATTGGAGGAATAGGCAGAAACATTGTCAGCTGTTTGGAAGAGAACAGGACCAAGCACCAGGAATTCTAATGGGGTGATGACACTCTGCCACTGCTTAATGAAGCTGGGTGAATGTTTAGGAGAAAAAACAGGCATAAAGAAGGACCTCTGGGGCCTTGCGGTCTAAGTGATACTTGAGGCAGTTTTTTATTAACTTCAGTTTTTCTCACATGCTGATTTAATTTTTCACTTCATTCTCAAACACTAAGTGCTTATCTATCTGCCACTCCAGATGGCAAGTTTGGGTAATATGACTTGGTAGCTGTTCACCTGCTGTATCATTTGCCTATTTTTCTTCCACTTCTAATTGTATTTCCCAAATGAGACCATGTAAGGATGGGAAAAGAAGGAAAGCAGGAATTATGTTATCCATTTCACCAAGATAGGTGTGGATTTGTTGGAGGTGGCAGCTGTAACAGATGACCAGCCACTGATAAAAGACATTACAAAAACACTACAATTTACAGCACATAATTTTAGAACGCTGTCTAATTGTCAGCTGACTGTATAGAGCTAGCTTCAAAAAAGCAACAGTGCAGTTGGGTGAAGGGCTTGTTTTGGTGCCCCACCTACCCTTCATGGAAACATGGTTGTTTGAGATGCTGTTAAATCAGTATTGCCAATGCATAAGCTACTTTGTTTGAATAAACCACCGTCAGTTTGGACACTGCCTCTTTGCTGCGTTGGACTAAAAAAAGAAGCCACAGTGGTACCTCTGCTGCTGGAGGTTATCTTGCAGCCTTGCACAGCTCTGCACTTCACTACTATAAAGTTTAAAACAAACTTCCAGCAGCAGCACAGAAGTCCTATAGCACATACTACTCTTAGGCTACAGAGCCACTGTGAGTTTTAATCAAAGTGTGTTTATCACATACCTCTCTGCAATTGCTTAATGAACAAGTTCAGTCATTTCTAGTGTGAAAATGTATTGTCATTTTAATTTCTGAGTCTTCAGTTAAAATTATGTTTGCTTAATTTGCACTCATACTGTTAACTTTGTCTAGGTTTTCTCCTGGCAAATGCTTTCTATGAAATAGATAAATCCTAATAATATTGACATGTGAAAGTGTCTGCGATTTATTTTATCCTAACTGTGAGCCATAGCTGAAGAGTTGAGCAAACACAGTGTGAAGGTTTAGTAAATAGGATTTTCAACACATTCTATGCTTAGAGGCTTAGATGCTGGGTATCAAATTCATCTGGCAATAAGGATATCAGAACAGTCACAGCTTGGATGTGTCTGACCTTTGAAGTTAAACGTTAGCTAACAGTTGGATTGGTATTTCTGGTATGTTCCGCAATAAGTCTGAGGAATGTGCGTTAAATATTTTATTTCAACATTAAAATGTCTGTATCCTTCTTTTAAGAAAACAATGTGCTACATTCAAGGAGCACATATGGAATGAAATCATGTTTGAGTCAGTTTGCTTACGTTTACACTGCACAAGAATATATAAGAATGCACAAGAGGGCCATAATCTGTCAGACCAAAAATCTGCCTAGCCATGTAGCCACCTCCTAGTGTGTCTGGGAGATGTCTCACTCTTAGTGTCTCGAAAAGTCAAAGAACAATTGATCTCTACACACTATCCCCACGTTATTTGTGCTGTTGCAGTTTACCAGCCACCTCTTCTCCTGGCTAGAGTCCTATCTTACCTAGTTCCGCCCTACTTAAAGGGAAACCCTTCTATACCTCATTGTCCTTATTGCTCTTCTCCAACTCCAGGCATGTGGCATCCTTTCTGAAGTAGTGGGATCCAAACTGCATACAACAGGCAAGTGTGAGCAAAAAACTTATGCAGAAGATCAACTATATTGTCTTTTTTCCCTATACTTACCTACTACTACTTAAAAATTTAATCATTTTTAGTTGCTGCTTCTTTTCATGCAGCTGTCTATCACAAACTAAAGATCTCAGTTCCGGAGAGGATCAGCTGGTAATGTCCAGCCCAAAGTCTGTTATTCCTTATTGCCATTTTTTTTCCTACATGTGCACGTTCCTTTTTCTTCTTTTTCCTATAGATGCCAAAGTTCTGGCCATTTCCAAATCATGATTTCCTGTTGATACATCCTCTATAAACGAAAAATGTGGAAAGTTGGACACAAATTATATGGTCAAAATGCACTTATGTATGTATTTTGTGTAACACCAGTAAAAGAATAACCTCAGTTGAATTTTCGTCAGCTTAAAGCGTTGAAATCTAAGTTGCAATTTTTCCCTTTATTTTCTGTTAAATTACCATTAAGTTTTAGCAGAAGACTTCATTGCCTAATGATGGGAGACTGGATATTAGAAACAAAACAATTCATATTTTTATTGCAAATACTATTATTTTCCTATTTATCTGGTATGTTTTCCACAATTATAGTTGCATTGCCATGTTGTCTGAAGTGCTGAACACATTCTGGACATGGAGCAATCTTCACGCATTCTAAGGACCAAAATTCATTCCCTACTGTTCCCATTCCCATTCATGCCCTACTGTTGCCCTCATTAGAACCTGCTGCATTTAGTCAAAATTTAGGTCTACCATTTCTTGGTAGTTCAAAACAGTTACAGATAAATCAAACTTTGTAACATTTTGTAATTTTTTATTGAGAAATACCGTTTTTCACCTCTGCTTGTACCATCATTCAATAATATGCCAAATGTGTTTGCTAAGATCCAACGCTGCTCTGAAAACCCAAGAGCTTGTTGCTGAGAAGTCTCACCAGTCCTGCCCCCAACCATTTGAGGTGGACCTTGGTTGGGATGAAAAATTGCTCAATGCTCCATGGCATTCCTGCAGGTGCTAGTTTGTTTTACCAGGGTAAATGAAGGGAGCCAGAGCAATCAGATTCTGTCCTATACTAGTTGCCATGCAGAGACGGTAAGAGATGGTCCTTGCATCTCAAAACTTACAGGTTAATGTTGAAAATGATGTAGCTTTATATGGACAAAAAGCAAGTTTTATGGAAACAAGCTGGCTCCGTATGGGTCTGAAGGATACATGCTGCATCCAGCAGTACTTCTGATAATAAATGAGAAGAGCAAAGCAGTGTTAACAGTTAAGCATCTTCAGTATACTAAAGAAATTGTTTTCTTTCAGTAGGTAAAGACAAGCGATAAAATCCACTGTGTAAAAGGAGAAGACACGTGGCATTTTGGCACCAGTACCAATGAAGCTAACAGCCTTCTCTACTTTCTGTTTTTGGCTGGCTCTCTTTTTGGCTGGCTTCCTTAGCATATGCATTACTGACAGTTTTATGGGAAGTCAGAAGAACCATACACTAATTTTCACCAAGGAAAGCAATATTCGCAACTGCAGTTGCTTGGCGGATATCCGTGACTGTGACTACAGCCTGGCAAACCTGTTGTGCAATTGCAGAACTGTGCTGCCTTCTACCATGGAAAAAACTGACTACAGTAGCGACCTGACAATTTGGTTCACAGACACCTCTGTGCTGGAGATGCTCCTCAACTTCACAATGGTGTGGGATTTGAAGCTCTCCTTCTGTGGCACTACTCCTCTACCAACAGAATACTTGACCATCTGGGGACTGAGAAAGCTCCGGGTAAAAAATAAGGTCAAGGGACAATTTCCAGAGCAGAGCGTAACCATCCACAGTAGCAGCAAGAATGAAAAAGAAGATCTACTCACAATGCACAACAAAGACAGGCAAATGTTAGTATACATTTCTTTCCTGGATACCTCTCTTTTCAATGGATATTCTTTGCTGAAGTCATACAGTGTGGAAAATGTCTCTAGTATCACAGAGCACTTTCACAACCTGCTGTACTCCAATGTTTTCTCAAACTCAGATAACAAAAGTTATGTTGTAACATTCATTTACTGAGTTTTCTAGCACAGTCAGCCAAAGGCTTGGCAAACTGCTGAAAGAGAGATGGGACTCTGTTTGGTTTGGCCACAAGGAACCATTACGGGATGAAAAGTTTTGACTGTGTACTCTACAAGGAGGCGTTTGAAGTAATACAGATTCATCTGACTAACTCAGTAAACGCTTCCTTAAAGAACAAAGAACACATGAAACAAGGTAAAAGCATCACTACAAATCTTTTATATTGTAAGCTAAGAATTGAACACATTCTCTGTTCCCTGACAATCTTGGTCACTCTCCACTGGGCACACTCTGGTTGATCAATACTTTTCTTCCAATGAGGGAGGCCAAAACTGCCAGTAGTACTCTGCACACAGGGGGAATAATCCCTTGCCAATATTTACTGGCCTCACCCCTGTGCTGTGAGGTCTGAGGCATTTGAAACAGACTGTCCAGATATGTGTTCAATACCCATCCCTGGAGGTGTTCAAGGCCAGACTGGATGGGGCCCTGGGCAGCCTGCTCTAGAATTAAATGCGGATGTGGGTGGCCCTGCCTATGGTAGGGGAGTTGGAGCTTGATGATCCTTGAGATCCCTTCCAACCCAAGCCATTCTGTGATTCTAAGATTCTATGATTCTATGATTTGAGGTGGTTACAAGCTACCAGAGAAAAACTGAGAGTGCTGGTTTTCTTTGTCCTCCACTGAGTTGTCAGAGCTGGGATCCCCATGCTCAGCCTGGGTGACAGAGCCTCTTAGGACAGCAAAGGCAGCTTTGCAGTCTGCTTCCCACCTCAGCATAACCAATGGCGCGTTTGTGAGATGGCCAGCAATCTGTGGATTTTCAGTATGTGATGGAGGGTGCCCAGTTATGTAGCAGGGTACTCTCATTTTCCATTCATCATGGGAAAAGGTGGGCAAGAGATCACCCTGCAAAATGCCGTGATTATAAAGATGTTTTTTTTCCCATTGATGGCTCCTTTCCCCAAATACAGCAAAGTTGATTTCATCTTTTGTGCTGATGGTAAACTCTCCTCTCTAAGAAAAGGAGAAAATAAACCATCCTGTGACTCATCTGATAAGTAAGGCAAAGCTTCAGGCAACAGGTATTAGCTGCACTGTGGGAGAGATTGCCATTCCCTGAAAAACGTCAGGACAATGTCAATAGCCAAAAGTCTACTCCTTGCCCATGTCTGCAGGATTCACATTCTGTGAGATGCAATTAAGGCTGGAATCAATGTGTATAGTATAATAAAGTCCAAACAGAATTGCAATGCCAGCAAAGGATTACATTTTTGGTTTTTTTTTTCTCTTAATCTGGGATAAAATATATGTACTGAGGGGAACAATTATTAAGATTCTGAGGAACCAATGAATTTGTTTCAGTAACTTTAAGCCTTGCCCATAATTATAATCAATGGTGGAGCAGTTTTGCTAGGTAACACAACTTAATTTTTTTTTTTTTTACATACACTTCATTACTACAGGCTTTACCACTGAAATCAACAGTGTAATAGCTATTAGGAAAATCAGGTCGATTTGCAATTGTAAATTAACAGATTTAAAGACACTGGTGTTTATGGGCTGAGCAGTGAACTCCATTTAACTCAGAGAGCTATTCAATCAGCTGTTGTACAGACTTTTGTCATTTATCAGCATCTTGAAAACAAATTGAAAGTTTTTTTCCACAGGTGAAAAATATTACTTGTGAACACTCTATGGTTTTGTCACAAGTTACAACATGGTCAGGAGCTGAAGCTGAGGTGACAGAGGTTAGGAGCAGGGGTGTTGTTCTGAGCATGTACTTGCCTGGTATGGATTATAGAAGAATATAAATCATCCTGGCTGTGCAAAACTACTAACATTGCCCTCACAAACTGACTGATCATTAACTCTGCACAGGATACTCTTGTTAAAAAATACACATAATATATTGATTTCTAAATGTTATTAATCCTCTCTTAAAAATCAAGCCTAAATTTTTTTCAGTTAATTCACTGATGCTCTGCTGCCCTCTAGTAAAAAATGTGCTGAATAACACAGTAACACAATACTATATTGCCAGGGCAGCAATGATTGCTGAGGTTACTGTTTGAAATCCACAGACAGAGCAGAAACTGAGGACGTGTATTCTGGCTTTCTTGGGAAGAAATCACATTAATAGATCTGTGTGCTTTTTAATGCTGTAAATTAAAGTTTTGATTACTCTTGCCACAGCTGTGTTCTGAATAATGGTCAAATAAAAGACATCATATTCCTTTGTACAAGTAAACACTGCGGAAATCTTCAAGGAGTCAGGGAAAACCCTACTTTCAGTTACATGATTGGCAGAAATCCACAGCACCAATATTGCATTCATCTTTGCAGTTCATACATTTTTCTTCAACAGATAGCAAGAATCTGATTCTCCCAATTTACATTTGATTTGGTTTTGCCATACAAAAGCACTATTTTAGAAGCTTGCAGAATTTCTTTATAGCAATTCAAAGAGCTAAATACAAAGCAAAGTACATAACGCATACAATGTGAGCTTTATTAATTCTGTTGGCAGAGGTTTCTTTTCTCTGCATCTGGACAAACTGCAGTGGTACATTAAGTATCACAATGCAGAAATAATTACATAATTTCATAGAATTATAGACTGGCTTAGGTTAGAAGGAACCATAAAGATCATCTGGTTCCAAACACTGATGTCAACAGCGCTGCCCGCCACCAGCTCAGGTAGCCCAGGGCCCCATTCAACCTGGCCTTGAGTGTTTCCAGGGATGGGGCACCCACAGCCTTTCTGGTCAGCCTGTGATGTTTCTCACCACTACCTAACATGTAACTTAAATCTCCCCTCTTTCAGTTTAAAGCCGTTCCCACTTGTCCTATCATCAGACAGTGCAAAATGTTGGCCTTGCTTCTGCTCATAAGCTCCCTTTGGGCACTGTAAGGCTACAGCAAGGTTGCACTGGAGACTTTTCCTCTTCAGGTTGAACAAGCCCAGCTCCCTCAGCCTTCCTTCATAAGAGATGAGCTCCAGCCCTCTGATCAGGACCTGCTCCAAAAGCTCCGCATTTTTCCTGTGTGAGGGCCCTAGATTTAGTGAATTCATTACAATTAGTGTAAGACTGTTCAATCACACCCCAAACTTCGCATGATCATTTTATGGTGTTTCATCACATGTTTATGGTAACTAATATTTACACACAGTGCTCCCATTCTCTATATATGAAGTCCAACCTGGTTTGGCGGTTTTCAGTCTTGGTGTATGATTATAGGCTATGCCAATGAATAGAAACTGAGCCTTTTTTAGAGGCTGTGGGACGCTGGCCAAGCCTTCTGCGTCTCCTCCCATGTAGAAGAGGGGCTGCAAGATGGAGGCTACTTGGTTATAGATCATTTGAGTTCGAAGGGATTTTTCAAGGCCACCTGGTCCAACTCCCCTGCAGTGAACAGGGACACCTACAGCTACATCAAGTTGCTCAGAGCCTGGAAGGATGAAGAGGCCTCCCCACGTTCCAGCACTTACACCTGGAAGGAGTTTTTAAGAAGGCCAGTGACACACGGGCCGCAAGTTCAAAGGGCCCGCGCGCCCTGCCCGCCCCTCCCCCGTCTACCGCGCGCCGCTTTCCCGACACAAGATGGCGGCAGAGGCGGTCCCATTGGGAAGAAGGGGAGGAGGGAGAGGCACGCGGCGTGTCGAGTCGCTCTAGTCCCTGCTCTCTACGCTCCCTGCTGGGTACTCTCTACCCTCGTTTCGCCGCCTCTCTATGGTCGGGAGGTTTCTGTCTGCTGCCAGGGGGGAGGCGGCGGGCGGCAGCCGACAGGGGGCGCTGTGGGCCGCGGAGCGGCGGCCGTCATGCTCGGCGAGCCGGGCCTGGGCCGCGGCGCGGGGCGGCAGAAGTGGGTGGTGCCGGTGCCGGCGCTGCGCGGCGCGGGGGGTCGGCGCCCGGCGGGATGTTCCGCAAGGCGCGGAGAGTGAACGTGCGGAAGCGGAACGACTCGGAAGAGGAGGACGAAGAGCGCGATGAGGAGCCGCCTCAGGAGCCGGCGCCGGCCTCTGGGGCCGGAGGAGAAGGGCCTGCCGAGGCCTCCGCCGTGGCCCTGGCGGCTGCGGGCACCGGGCTGCTGCCTCTGCCGCCCGGCTGCGTGCCCCTCGCCCTGCCCGGCAGCCCCGCCGCCTTCGCATGCGCCGCGGGCTACGGTGCAGCCCTCGGCCTGGGGCTGGGCCTGATGGGAGGCGACCGGGCTGGGCTAGGGGCGCTGCCGGCGCCCTCCCTGCTGCCCCCCCCGCCGCCTCCGCCGCCGCAGGGCAACGGGCTGCCGGCCACAGGGCGGCCTAAAGAGAAGAAGCGGGCTCGGGAGAACAAAGAGGTGCCCCGCGCCAGCCTGCTCAGCTTCCAGGACGAGGAGGAGGGTGAGGCGGCGGTGGCGGGGCTGAATTTGCGCCGTGGTTCTGTTATCTTAAGGCAGTGGAGTGGCCGAGGAACGTGGGCTGTGAGGGGCTGCGGCCAGCCTTCCTGGCGACAGGGATGTGCTGGCAGGGAGCTCCCCGTCGGCGGCACCGGGATGTGCTCCTTGATTTCGCTATGGTTTAGCGGGGTGAGCTACTATCACAGCACCCCGACTTGGAAGGGATACACGGGCGTCACTGACTCCAGCTCCTGGCTGCACTCGTGTCCGGAGTAGCCGGACCTGGATTTGCATGGTTCCAGGCGCTGGACCCAACCTGTTTGGTCCCGCCGGGCCTGTGGTGCTGATGGAGGGTGGTGTTTGCTGTCCTTCTGCATCAAGTTTGCTTTCATCCCGCGTGGATGTCAGGGGGAAGTTCTTTACTATGAGAGTGATGAGGAGCTGGCACAGGCTGTCCAGAGAGGCTGTGGATGCCCCATCCCTGGAGGTGCTCAAGGGCAGATTGGATGGAGCCCTGGGCAGCCTGGTCTAGTATCAAATAGGGAGGTTGGTGGCCCTGCCTGTGGCAGGGGGGTTGGAGATTCATGATCCTTGGGGTCCCTTTCCAACCCTGGCCATTCTGTGATTCTGTGGATGTGTCAGATCACCCGTTCTATGAGTAGACTCTGGGTGAAATGAGTATTTTGTTGTAGTTATTTCCTCACAGATTACTGGATTGTCCTTCATAAGTAGTTGGAAAAGTGACTGAACATTTTCTGTACTTTGATTTATAGCATAGCTGTACTTGTTCAGTGCTCTGGTAGTAATCCTGCCACAGGTACTGTGCCTGTGCACGTCCTAATCTACTGATGGGCAATAGTTGTTACACATTAAAAACAGTGATGAAAAAAGCACTCTTCAAGCCACTGAGTCCATTGCATCCCAGAAGTTCAGGTTTGATCAGACTTGTTTTGTGTTAAGAGGTCTTGTGATCTTCTGCTAGAGGAGAGTTAATGTGCCTTTTGATATTTTGTTTCAAAGAACTCTCTCTGGTCTCTGAACTGCGGGTTTGAAAACCTGTCAAATACTGAAAACGCAGTGTTAATAGTATTTACTTAAGAAAAAGCTGTTGGATTTCCTGCATCCAACTTTGAATTTCTGCATGTTGTTTTTGTTTGTTGTTTTGTTTTTTTTCCAAACGTACTGCATACCTTTCAATAGGTTGTAGCTCTGCAGGCATTCAAGCTGTGGGTGCAGCAAAAACCAGTCATTCCCTTACTCATTAGTCATACTGGCCTAAGTGTGGCTATGACGAGAGCGTTAATGCAAAATGCTGAGGCTTCTCATTTTCTTCTAATCTGTGATCACAATGAAGAATCTGCTGTTTAAAAAATAAAAATAAAAATTGAAACAGCAGTGAATACAGATAAAAAGCAGGTCACGTTTGTATACTTCAGCTTCTGCCTTGCTTTCCTGTGACTGTGCTGTGAATGACCCCTGAGGAAACAAGGAAGACAAGAGTGTTTGTGAAAGGGTATGCGGCTCTTGTTGTTACAGTAGTGCAAATGTGCAATCACGTGAAATTATGTTCCTAGTGTGCTTCTTGAGATCTACGTGCAAAGGAGGTATAATAGCTAACTGTACTTCTTGGCAAATCTGACGTGATGTTTTTCAACTTTCTTTTAAAGAAACCGAAGAAGTTTTCAAAGTGAAGAAATCAAGTTACAGCAAAAAGATTGTAAAACAGCTGAAGAAAGAATACAAGGAAGATCTTGAAAAATCAAAAGTTAGAACAGAGGTCAATTCTCCAACAGATGGTAAATGCAAAATTAACAGTAACTTCTCTAATGGCAAAGATTAAGAATTGTAAATACAGATCACGTGTTTTCAGGATGAGTTGTCTGTCCTTCTATAGGATTTAGTATTATTACTAGAGTATATGTTGAATGCATTCAGTTGAACCTCACAAATGCTATTCTGATGCTGATAGAGATCTTTGAATCTCTGTCAGTAGAAATGAATGCTGAAGGATGAAATTTCTCAGATAGCTGCCTTTACAACTCTCAGTAGACTTCAGTAGTTTATGTTTCAGCACTATTTATGTCAGATCCATTTCTTTTCTTCCTATTATTAGTTCAGCACTACTTCTAGTGCTTATTTGACAGGATGTCCTTGCAAAGCAGCTTGTCAGAAAGGAAAAAAGAGGGAGTGAGATGTGATGGTTTTTGTTATTAAGTAAATTACTCAACAGTTGTGCGTTTCACAGTTTGACCTTAGAGCAGAGTTGGTGATCAAGATGACAAGATGAAAGTATTGGAGCAGATGGACCTTTTAACAGTACATGGTCTTCTAGAACTTGTAGGTAGAGCCTGAGATTTCGGTTTTGTTGTAATTCTGCTGTTGGTTATTGGGAAAATCATTGGTAAAGTATCTTGATATGTTTTCCTCTACCACTTACTTGGATAGAGTGAAACCTACAACCCGTGAGTACAAGTGTTATCTAAAAATCACAGTGATACAGCTGAAGCTTATGGAAGTTGAATGTAATCCCATGGAGAAATTTGCTTTCACTTGATTTTAAGAATCCTAGAATGTTAGTCCTTTAAAAAAAAAATCCCTCCAAGTGACCTTTACCAAAGAGTAAAATGTAGGCTTTATTGTCTTAACAGTTGAGCCACCACTAGAAAAGACAGGACAGATTAAGGACATAGGTCAAGAAGATGGGACTGCAAACAGCGAACATGGTGAAGAAGAAATGGAAGTTGAAAGTGAAAAGGAAGAAGAAAAAGCAAAACCTGGTGGGGCTTTTTCAAGTGCTCTATCATCGCTGAATGTTCTT